TTCGTTTTACGGAATATGAAACCCAGGTGAAAGTCATGTCGCAGCGACATATGATAGATGGACGATGGTGTGACTGTAAACTTCCTAATTCTAAGGTACTTTACTTTTGTCTCTGGATGTTTTGCTCACAAACTTAGAATTACTAAAATAAATCACTACACTTGGAAAAGATAGTGGCAGAATGTATGTGTGAAGTGTCATTTGTTGTCCTAGGACCTTAATGCATACTCAATATTTTATGTTGATTTGAAATACTTTCCTACTCTTTCAAACTGAAACTCTGGTGTTTCGTTTCTTGCAGTGCTTGTGATTGAACCCAGGGTTTTGCACATACTAGCCAGTGCTGTACCACTAAGCTACCGCCACTCACCTAAAATGTTGTTTTATTTATCCTTTTTTTCTGTTAGCAGTTTCTTGCACAGTTGTATGTTAGAACAAAAAGACAATCAGAATATCTTAATTCCAACAAGGCATGGTAGCACATGGCTATAATCTCAGCACTCTAGGAGACTGAGGAAGGTCATGAGTTTGAGCTCAGCCTAGGCAACCTGATGACTGACTTAGCAAGACACCCATCTCAAGATAAGTAGCTTTTTTTTTTTTTTTTGTATTTTAGGGAAGGGTCTACAGGGCATTCAGGGTCTCACTACTAGATCGGACTCATAGTGATTACCTGTTTGCAGCCTCCCAAGAGCTGGGATTATAGGCGTGTGCCACCATGCCTAGTCTCAGTTGCCATTTTAGCATGCCCCAGGGATGCAGGGCCGGCACGGCAGGCCTGGAGATCGAACCCCCGGCCTCTGTGCCTGCTTGCAGGTGCTTTAATCCACTGAGCTATTTCGCCAGCCCTTCATAATAGGTAGCTTTTAAAAAAGGAATAGGGATTTAGCTTGGCTGCTTGCCTTGGTTTTAATCTCCAGTACCCCACTACTCACCAGATAAGGACTGTTACAAAGCTCTAATGTAGGGCCAGGGAGATAGCTCAGTAGAATACGTGTTTGCCTGGCAAGTGCAGGGTCCTGAGTTCAATCCCCAGTACTGCAAAAATAATAAATAAAGTCTAACTTATTCCAGGCAAAGACTTTTTTTTTTTTTTTGGTAGACCCGGGGATTGAATTCAGGCCCTTGCACTTACCAGGCAAGCTCTTATTCTACTGAGCTATTTCCCCAGGCCCAACAAAGACTTTTTTTAGTTGGAGCCTCATCATGTTTGAAATCTGGAGTATTTTGTAGTCTCATTTTTTTAATATATTTGGTACAAGGTCTCACTGTGCAGCTCAGACTTATAGTGATCCTCCTGTTTTCAGCCTCCTCAACATTGGGATTATAGGTGTGCACCACCATGCCAGGTCTCAGTGGCGGGTCAGCATATCTGGG